TGGCTGATATCTTTACTAAACCACTGGCCTTTGACATTTTCAGCACTTTAAGAACCAGATTGGGTATGATTGACTTAAATGCATAAACTTTTATCTGTTGATTGTTGTTTTCTCTTTACAATTTTTTTCTTATTTTTTTACTTTTCATCTATTTTTATTAATTTGATTTTATTCATTGTTTTATTTTTTCTTTTAATCACTGCTGAATTGATATCTTGAGCCATATTTTTGTTTTTTGAAAATTTATAGTCAATGATTGACATCTCTAAAATCAGTTAAAGGGGAAAAATACTATTGATTGTTTCATTCTCTCTAACTTCTTTTGGTGGTGGAATTTTCTTTTCTAAACAAATATCTATCTCACATATCAACTGAATTTTGAAATTAAGATCTTTTCAATCTTGCTACAGTAATCTATCTTATATATATAATATTCAAAGTCTTTATTATACCTTTAGATTTTTGTAATCTTGTCGTTAAATTTATCATATGATTTTTTATTCTATTTTATGATTCATTCTTCCTTACATTAGAGGGTGAGTTTTTCTTCTCTAATAAGTGGAAGATATAATTACAACTAAGAATTTTTTAATAATTTTGAAAAAAAAGGGATCTATCTTAAAAAAAAAAAGAAAAAAAAGTGGCCAACGATGTCAAATCAAAAGAGGACATTAACGCCAAATTAATATATATAATCATCCAGTATCAGGAGCGGCATTTAAATATCATCTCATGTAGGAATCAGGTCATTCAATACGATCATCTTGATCATCCTATACAATTAATACAAACCAATAACTAATCGTCGAGTATGAGAGTTGGTGTTTAAATATCATCCTATATAGAAATCGAGTCGTATAATACCATCGTCTCTAATCGACTTGTACGATCTGATTGAATAATTTAATAATAATTAAACACCCAATCATATGATTAATTAGGCATGATTTTCATCGATCATACTATACAATAATGATTAGATACATATTTTTAATATTAAAAAAAGACATAAATTATGATTTATGATTATTTTTTACTATAATGGATTATTCTGTATGATATAGATCATACAGTACAACAAGTTTAATCAATCTTAATTAGCTGAGGTACCCTAATTAGGATTTTTTGGTTTATTTAATCATCCAGTATGATAAAAATTGTAATGTATGATTAGGTTAAAAAAAATTCTAACTCACCAACTCACTCCCTTGAGTGCGTGTGTGTGTATGGTTACTCTGCTTAGTATCCACCATATACATGACTTGACTCAAGAAAGATAAATTTACAGTGAAGTTGAAATTCTAAATAGACTCAACCATAGTCTAGCCAATCTTGAGCTGATTGAAATTACAAGTGAACTATGGACTTATTGAGCATGGCAAAAAAATAAATATTTAATAATAGCAATTAATAGATAAATAACAGTAAGAAAATAATAATGTTTGTTTTCATAAAAAAATTATAGTTCTTGGGTTTAGATTTGCAACATTTATTATCTTCTTCCATATCTAAAATAATAAAATCAAAAGAAAAAATGAATTGATCAACCTTGATCAAAACATCCTCTATTACTGCTTTTGGATAAGTAAAAGTTCATTCAACCAATTGAAAAGTAACAAAAGTAGCTTGAATCTATCATATATCTAACCTCTGAAAAATGGATAAAGGAATGATATTATTACTAGATCCTAAGCCACATAAAGCTCTCCCATAGAATTTATCTTTGAATAGTTAAAGGAATGGTAAAAATCCTATGATACTTAAAATTTTTAGGATATTTATTTAGTAAAATAGCACTATATTCTTCAGTTAATGCCTCAATTTCATAATAACAAATCTTCCTTTTCTTAATCAAAATATCCTTCTTAAATTTAGTATAAGTAGGCAATTGTCCTAAAGCTTCAGAGAAGGGGATATTAATATTTAATTTTTTAAATACTTTAAAGAACTTTGAGAACTATTTTTCAATATTTCTTTTGATCAGCCTCTTAGGGAAAGGGGGTGATGGTCTCTCAACAACCTTTTTATAAAGCTTTTCAAGATCTTTAATAGGTTCAAGTGTTTCAGGAGGGGTCTTATTTTCTTGTTGTTCCTTTGTATCATCTTTATCCTAAGGTTGGTCATTTTCTTTATAAGGGTCTCATAATCCTTTCCAAATTCTAAGTTGGATATTATGACGTTATTCTAGCATTTTTTTATAATGCATCAACTTAGCTAATTATCCTATTTTATCTTCAACTTTGAGAACTATTTGTCAAGATTTGTTTTGATCAACCTCTTAGGGAAAGGAAGTGGTGGTCTCTCAACAACTTTTTTATAAAGCTTTTTAGAATCTTTAACAGATTCAAGTGTTTTAGGAGGGGTCTTATTTTATTGTTGTTCCTCTATATCATCCTTATCCTAAGGTTGATATTTTTCTTTATAAGGATCTCATAATCCTTTACCACTTTTAAGTTGGATATTATGACATTGTTTTACCATTTTTTTATAATGAATCAACTTAGCCAATTGTCTTATTTGACCTTTACCTTTTTTTTAATAACATTAGATTGATTATTCATCTGTATTCCTAACTAGAGAACAATATTTTCTAAAAATTCCTTCTTATATTTCATGATAAAGTTGTTCATATTCTTTGGGGAAGGTGCTATATATCTTGGTGTAGTGGTGCTATATCTCCTAAGATCACTATTAACCTTCAATTCATCCAATTTCTTGAAAATACCAGCAACTTGAGTAGTCAAAATATATAAAGAATTATTTTCATAAACTCTAGCCAATCTATTAATATTCACCCTATCAACGGGCCACATAAAATTATTTGTTTTCATTTCCTCAATTAATTCATAAGCATCCTCAAAAGGCTTTGACATTAAAGAATCTCTAGTTGTAGCATCAATTATAACTATGAGGGATCCTACGAATCCATTATAGGAAGTTTGAATTATCAACCAATCAGGTAAATCATGGTGAGGGCACTTTCTAAACATCTCCTTGAATCTTTCCCAACTATCATAAATAGATTCTCCTTTTGACTAAGTAAAATAAGTAATGTGATTCCTAAGCTTAGTAGTCTTAGAAGGTAGAAAATACTTTCTTAGAATTTATGGGCCAACTCATTCCATGTGCTAATAAATCCTAGAGTTAAAGAATTTAACCACATTTTTTCCTTATCTTTTAGAAAAAAATAGAAACAATCTAAGTCCAATGGAAATATCACTAACACCATTGTTCTTAAAAGTTGCACAAATTTCAAAGAAAATTGCTAAATATAGGTTAGAGTCTTCAATGGGAGTTCCCCCAAACTAAGAATTTTATATCATCTGAATGATTGCATGTTTTAATTCAAATTTATTTGCTTGGATGACGAGTTTATTTATACTTTAGAGGAATTCATCTACTAAAGGGTTTATTAAATCCTTAAGATCTCTAGAATGATCTATGTTTAGAACATGATGAACCATTTTAAAAATCTTTTTGGTGCTTATAATTTTAGAAAGAGTTTTCTCAATTTTAGGATCAAAACTTAAATGTGTCTCCTCTCAATGTCTTGTAAGCATGCAACAATAAATATACAATCAGTAAATTGAAACAAAAGAATAAAAGAATATAGTAGGACTAATAATTCAATTGATTTAACAATATAGTAAATGTGCAAATAAAACAAATTTTTCTTGAGCAACGGTGTCAAAAATTTGATGAAAGCATTGGAGTAACCTAAAGAATTGTGAATATGATTTATAGCTCTATCAATCCCCAAATAATGGCTAGGTTTTCTTTGATATAAAAAATTATAAAACCCCCACTTAATATATACAAGTATACTTGCTGAATCAAGTAATATAGTGATATAATATAGTATGGATGCTACAAGGAAAAATATTTACTTGCAAATACTAGTATTGCCTATTTTAGCTACAATAATTACCCTACTTAATAAAAATAAGGTTTGGTGGAGATTTAATCTTTTCAATAAAATTAATAATAAAGTAATGTAAACTGTTATATGAATAAAATATTTTGGAATGATGAAATGTAAAATTAATATGTTTTCAATTGATTATCTTAATAATGTGATGTTATTCAGAGCCTAAGTAGCATGGATCGCTAATTCAAGCCTAAAGAGACAAATGACAGGTATAACATATTCTATTATCAATACCCCTTTAAATTCCCATAGTCTATCTCCCTGTCAAAATTTTAGAAGAGTAAATAAATTATGTAATGTTAATCAAACCCTCATGATAATCCATCTATTTAAATTTGATAGAAGATAAGTATTATGCCTATGCCTGCATCTTACTAATCCAATATATCTGGTTGTGTCTATTTTCTAACTTTTTGGTTCCACATTACACCTAATATTAACTGTACATATGGCCACTATGTGCATTAAATGAAGACATGGTATATTAAAAATATCATATCATTAATTTAAAGATTAATATAAATCATTAATATTCCACATCTAATTTACACCATCAATCCAAAACTTTGGGAATTAGCCAGCCATGAAGAATAACTAGAGAAAACTCATTTTCATTAATAACATACAAGAAAGAAAGTACAGAAGAAAAGATATAACAAGATGGCTCAACATTCTCCTCTACACTCATCCTTGAAATTACATAATTGCTTCTACGAACACTGACCAAATACTCTAAAGAAGTGAATCTTGTGCTCCATGAATTCCCTTAGTTATCACTCCTAAAGAAATTTTAAAGAGACACTTCGAAGTCTGAAATTTACTATGTGATTAAACTCCCTTATAAACATTATAGATACACTATTTATTGTAAAATATAAAAAATGGATTATGGCACCACTTTGCACAAGAAACTTTCACTACGATGCCCATAAAATGAAACAACACCGCAACACTTAAGAGTTTTCTCCACTATGGAGCTTACTAACATAAACCCACTACTTAATGAATAAAAGCATCACTTAACTGGAAAATCATGGCCTAAATAATTATAATTGTAACACCACAGCTTTACTAATGTTTGTGTGCTACAAGTCTACAAGGAACTCCTCTAACTTAGTAATGCTAGAATTTGGCATCACGGTGCTGTGCAGATAGAGACTAAGCTTTATAATGCTGACTCCTTTGATGCTGCGGTACTGGGTTAGTTGAATGGGCTTGCAATCTTGACTCATCTGATGATGCGACACTTTCAAATATATATTTGGATCCACCATGTACATATTTGGACCCTCTGGCAGTGTCAATGATGGTGTTGTGGAGGAATTATATCTGACACCATCACATTGTGCCATGATTTAAAATTTTACACATTTAATGTATTTATGCACATATATAACTAAAATAACACATTTTCATTGATAAATTAACACATAAAATACAATATTATTTACACTTATCAATAGCCTTGATGGAGGAATGCAATATTAATCATGAATATTAAAAAAATATGTTTGCATACCATACATAAGATGTAAAATATGTTAGATTCTTAAGGAGATAATATGACTATAGGTGGTCAACAAATATCTTGTTCACCCCTACAAGCACAACAGAAATTTTAGGATGCGTATGCTCTAAATCACATTACAAATAATAATTTTATTAGGAAATATATGCAATTTATATTCATCAGTCAAAACACTTTATTTACATATTATATCAATAATTTAACTATTTTTATTCACTGATTGAATATCCATAATAAATAATTTTATTTCAATAAGATAATTTTAGTAAATAGTAACAATTGATTACTAAAAAGCATACATTTTAGTATATTTGATACTATAATATATCACTTTAATACTTTATTCAGCACATATACTTATATATATTAAGTGAGGTTTATTATTTTATATCAAAGAAATTCTAAGCATTATTTAGGTGAGATAAAGCCTTAAGCTTTTTTATAATTCAAAAGAAGACTCCACTGTAGCACCCACCATTAACAAGCTAGGAGTATGTGTGAAGGACCTACATGACTCACAAGAGAAATAAGTTATACTTTATTTTTAGTACATGCATTTTTCTAGCAACAAAAATATGGACCACTTCTAAGAGGCAAGTTTTGTGATTTATCTTAGCACAAATCCCAATGAAGGTTAAAACTGTTAAAGAGATGAACTACTTGGGTGTGAAGATTGCTTTGAGGAGACTTGTGGCAGTGGATTTCAAGTTCATTTTGGATAAAGTTATTGGAAAGCTTAATACTTGGGGGAATAAATTTATCTCATTATCAGGGAAATTTATTCTTATCAAATCGATTATTCTTTCGATCCCAATTTTTTAATGTACTCATTCTCTTGTGCCTATTGGTATTTTGACTAAAATTGATAAAGTTTGTAGGGAATTTATTTGGCATAAAAATGATAGGAGAAGGGGACTTCATTATGTGTGTTGGGAAACTTTGTGTAAACCAATTAGATTGGTGGGACGTGGACTACTTTTATGTGTTCGCTAAAGGGAGCATTAAGGATGAACTTGCATGGCAATTCCTTAATGATGTTGACTCATTATTGCATATGACCTTGGAACCCAGATATGGTTTGTCATGTTGGAATTCTGAATTGAAGCAAAACATGTTGATTGCTTGGAAGATTATTTTGAATGGTGCAAAATTTCTACAATCGATTGTTAGGTGGAAGATGTCAAATGGGGAATCTGTTAATGTGATGAATGATGTTTGGGTATTGGATAAAGGTTTTAATAAATGGCCTACTTTTGTTTCTATTTTATAAAGTGATGTTATAACTGTTGATCGCTTCATTAAAAATGGAGTATCGGGCATGTAGGAGCTTCAAAAGTTCTTTGGGGAGGAGTTGGTCAGCCTAATATGCAATATTCAGATTGATCAAAATTATAACAAGGACCAAGTGGAGCTTATGCATAAGGTAATTAGAAAATCTACCTCGGCTCTAGCATTTGAAGTTGCTGTGAGTTATCCAGTTGCTAAGATGTATTGGTTATGGATTAAGAAAATTAAGCTTAATCCAAGGGTGGAAGTATTTTGGTGGATGTTACATCACAATGCTATTCCTATGTTCCATTTTTAGAATATAGAAGATTAAGAGATGAGAATTTATGTCCTAGAGGATATATGAAGATAGAAGATTATGAACATGTGGCGGTCAGCTGCTCTAATCTTGTTCAAATTTTGAATCAATGGAGTTTCAAAATTCCTAATTTTGGATCTTTTTTTAAATGAAGTAGTTGGTTGGAAAAATCTACATCAAGCAAAGCTTTCCTTGCTAATTTATATTATTCAGTTATTTTTTTGTTGGAAATCTAGAAATAAATATATTCATGGGGATAAGGAGGGTAGTAACCTGAGTATTATAGAAAATTTAGTTGGACTAGCTTCCATTTCTTTGTTAGACAGACATAAATCGGGCATCTGGGGTGCTAATCAATCGGTTCGGTTGTTCAAAAATTATTGGCATCCCCAACCATGCGATTGGATCAAAGCTAATATAGATGCTTCCTTATTAACTTCATATAAGGTTGGAGTTGGAGGTGTTTTTTGGGATCATAAAGGAAGGTTTTTGTTATCATCTAGATTCAATGGTGTTCATTGGGACATCTCTTGGTTAGAAATGTTAGCTATCTACTCTTTGGAATTGGTTGTCAAAGATTGGATGACGCAGTACAAAGGTATCATAATTGAAGGGGATAATGTGAACATGATTAAATACATTTAGGATGGTCTTAAGAAGATGGAGGTGTACAAGTTCGACTTTGGATTTGAATTTTTATATTTTATTAAAGATTTTAATCATGTTATTTTTAATTATGTGAATAGGGATTGCAATAAGTTAGCATATGTTTGTTCTGACTATGCTCTTAGTGGTAGTTTTGTTTGGAATGATATTAGTATGGATCATATTCCTCCTCATTTTTTCAATTGTTAATGGAGGAGTGTGATGTTATTAATATTTTGTATTAGGTTTCTTTTCTTTTAAAGCTATTGATATGTGCATCTTTCAAAAAAAAAAAAAATCCCAACGAAGGTAAGCTAAGATTTTTTAGCAAACAGTTCGTCAAAGGCTAGAGGGATACCTATTAAACTGACACCCTTAGAAT